AATTAGAGACTCAAAGATGATTAACTTAGTACAAAAAAAAGTTTTCTTTGGACAATTACTAGAAAATTTCTACTTTCACACCTATAGTAATTTATATATAGAACTGCGTTATGTTTTACTATGATCATTCTTCAGTTGACTGGAGAATCGTCAATTAATTAAGTACTTAAAAGGCGCAGATATAGCTAAAATGTATCATTATTAATATAACAAAGTCAGATGTAGCCTATGTGGTTACTCTGGCATTCGATCCAAAGTTTAATAAAATGTGCCAGATCCCAAAGTGATCACCTTAACATTAAAAAAAAAAAAGTACTTATGATAAATATTTGTAACTATATTTCAACATACCTTAGTCCTAAAAATATTTGTTAAATATTTAGAAAATATTTAATAAGTGCTTATTAAGCATTTTGATAAACTTTGTAATGGTATATATAAATGATTAGAATCAAAAGTATAGTAATATCTATATGAAAGTTTATAATATAAAGAATTAAAATTAATCAATATAAATACAATATCAATATACTTATATTAGAAGTTCTAAATTATTAGTACAATATGCTATTAGCTAGTAGAGAAAATTTTTGAAATAAAGTTCTAATAAACACTATAGAAGGAAGTATTAAAAGAGTATAATCTACAAAACATAAATCAATAATACTAATGCTAAATTCTTACATATAGCAAACTTCAGAGATAATATCAAAAATCAAGTATTATCTGAACTGTGATAAGTATAAACTAGTATAAATTGATCTACCTATATGTAAATTATATCTAATAAACAGTCTGTAACATAGTAAAGTATAAATCTTGTAATATAAAGAACTCTAAAAACAGGGTCTTATTAAATATACCAAAAAATAACAGCTCATAAAGAGCAACTTTCTGATAAAACTAATTTAAAAATTAGTAGTTATACAATATAAGATATAAAAGAAAAATAATAATAATAAAATCTTAATAACTTAATAATAATATACAAAATCTTGATTATCTCTTAAACCGTCAGGATAAGCATTCAAATTTGCACGCTTAAATTTTAGAAGAAAATTGAACTTTAAAAAAAAATTTTTTTTTAGTAAAATCTCTATTCTAATTGGTTATAGTGACTTTCAGAGACTCAAGTCACACAACACACTCCACAGTTGCAGCGTGGAGCACTTCATGTGGCCTAAACAAAAAGCAAAACTTTATCTGATAGCCATGAAGTATGCTTTGTAACCTGAACTTTGAGCCGCTATATCTTTGTAGCATTGGCTCAAAAATCAATTGTATAAAGTTGGTCATGAAATATCTTTGATCAACTTTAATGTTGTACTATAAAAGAGACCCCGGTGTGACGAATGTAAGGAATCTTTATAAGTGTCATGTAAAGGTTCCTTTTTTAGTATGAAATTTGGACATCAAAGTCTTATTACAATCCACCTTAAATAACTAATTTTTGAAATATTATTCAAGAAATTTCGTATCATAAGAATTATATATAACCAACATGTGGTATGCTTTTATTTTAGCTTAGAAAATAGGGGGGTGAAGCTTAACAAAATTTAGAGTAAACAGAAAAAAATAGGGTAAAAAAAATTTAAGCGTCCAAATTTAGACGCTTGACGGTTTAAAGGATATATGAACAAAGCATAGTGGTTCAGGTAGGCTTAAGTTATAGAGAAATGTAGTTTAAGTCTTATATAGTTATAATATTAAATATATATAATAATTTGAATAAAATTATATATATATTAATAAAGATATAAAACATGATCATACCTTAAAAAAAATTAGAAGATTAGATAAACAAAAAAATATTGACAAAGATAATATAATAAAACAGTATTAGAATTATTATTATAGTACTTTAGAAGTTCTATCAAAATATTTACAACAAAACAATATACAGAAAAAGAAAGAACTGAAAAAAAAGATGCAAGTTTAAAGAAAACAAAATCTTAAAACAAAAATAACAAGGTGACAAAAAAATTATCTAAACAAAGAATCATAAAATAATATAAAAAACCTTATAAAATAAACTCTTAATAAAATAACAAAAGAATCAAGACCAAGAATTTTAGCAACAACTCTAGCAAAAGATAAAAGTCTTGACAATACACAAAATAGAAATCTACAAAGAAAAATAGCAGATTGGATAATGAAAACCAGTGTTGGGCAATATAGACATTTGAATTTATTAAAAATAATATGGACAAATATAAACATAGTAATTTATAGACATATACAGTAGGTTTGGACATAATCCAAATTTTTTAAAAAATATAAACATATACCAAGTGCCAATACTGATAAAAACTATATATTAAACAAGCATAGAAAGCATATAAGATAATACTAAAAAAAAATTAGAAAAAGAAGAAAAAGAATTATTGATAAAATAGAACAGATAAACCAAATATCAAACAGATACTGATATGAATAAAAAAACCTTCTACAAAATATAATAACAGAAACAATAGCAGAAAGCAAGAATTAAAAAAAAAGAAAAATATTATATTTGGAATAGTAAAAGAAATTATAGCAAAAAAGAAATTCATTAGAAAAAGATTAATTATTTAAAAAGAGAAAAGTAAGGAAGATACTTAGTTCAAAAAAAAAAAAGAAAGCTTGAGAGAATAAAAAATAAAAAAGAGATTTCACTTCAAAAAAAATTAGAAAAAAACCTTATATATGAAATAGTGAAAAAAATTTTAATATTAGTATCTAGAAATCAAGAAGGAAATAGTAGAATTCAAGAGAAGTTTCTTAAAAGAAAATCAAGTTTATAAAGTAAGAGAAAGAAAGAAGATATTTAATTTAGAAAAAAAAGAAAAAGAAGACTTAAATGAATTATTTAAGATCTAGAAGCAGAAGAATTAAGAGTAAAGCTAGAAAAACTAAAAAAAAAAATCTATAGAAAAATATTCTCAAAAACATATATAGAAGAAAATCTATTAATAAGAAAAACAATAAAACAGAATATAAAAATTAAAAGAAATACAAAAAGAAAATTAAAAAACAGAAATACAAGAACAGACTATTACAAAAAAAAATAATAATAAAATAAAAAGATGAAAAAAGGTGATTATAATAGTAAAATAAATAGAATATATAAGGTAAAAAACACATAACATAACGATCTTATTATGAGATTAGTGATTTGATATCTTAACATTGTTCACAAATACTAGTCACAGATTTTTTTTTATAATTTGACAATTCTGCCTCTGTTTATTTGAAATTAAGCTATTCAAGAATTATATATTTTTCTATAACTATTGCTAATCTAACCAAATTAGAGACTTATCTTTGGCTTTTGCTTAGATACAACCTGTTTTAGTAACCATTAGTTTTCCTTCAAGTCCTTAACTTACTAAGAACTTTTCTCTTTAGTCATGGGCTGGTGGTTATATGTCTTGTCAAAACTACCTAACTATATTTATATTCTACAACATAATTGTGCTTTGACTGTAAACTAGAGTTGATCTTTAATATAGGTGGCATATATAATTATTACAAGATTATAATATATAAAACCTAACTAATTTGAGCCAATTTAAGTAATTTTATAAATTATTAGGGTTAAAATTTAAATTAGCTCAAATTAGTTAGGTTTTATATATTGTACTCTTATAATAATTTATATATGCCCACCTATACTAAAGAAGATCCAAAAGATACAAAAATTCTTTTTGCTAAAAAGGCTAGAGTTGTTATTTACTGTATATAACATATAGATCATTTTCAAGTTTACTAACTACTACACCGATTTTTAGAAGTTACAATTTTCACATTACATCTGATCTTGTAATCTAATTGGTCAATTCAATATTGATTAGTGAAAATCTATGCCACTTGGGTAGTTACATAGATGTACTCTCAAAGTAAAATTTTAGATAGAGATTTTTTAAATAAATTATATAAATTGGTAAAAAATTTTCACCAAATTTTATTAAGTAGTTATCAAGAAATTTTTCGTTTAAAGTTAGGAGAAATTCCCAAAAAATAACTGCGATAGAAATTTTCCAAGCTTTAACTGAAAATTTCTAACAGAATTCGATGAAAAATTTTTTAAACGAATTTTAATAATTTTTTTAGAATTCATTTAAAAAATTTCTATTGAATTCTATCAGACAGAATTTTCCCAAACATTAAAATGAATTCTACTAATTAATGCTAATTTATAGAATTTATTTAAAAAAATTTTCATCGAATTCTATCAGATACTATCGAGAAAATTGGTCTGAAAATCTACTTCGATAGCTTAGTGCATAAATCACGTGAACGGTAAGTGTCCGGAGATTTTCCCGTTATAAAGTCATCATTTTATATATAAAATATTTTTAACTGTTACGCAGTCTTTAACTCGGGAACAACTTATAATAAATATGTCGGATAGCGAAACACGACTTGCGGCAATTGCGAGCATTCCATCACAAAAGGATAAAACTACTGAATATCGTGCTTTATTGGAAACAATTCTTACTTCAACGGGCGAAACAGTTTTAGCAGCTGATCTGGAAAAATTTGTTGACCACATAGTACAAGAACAAGTTGGTTTAGTCATTTCTCGACAAATTCTTACCGAGTTCGTACTGGGCATTGATAAAATTGGAAATTCTGCCATAAAAAAACGTGTTCTAAACTTTGCGCTGAATAAAGTCCAACCAAGAGTTGTCAGTTTTGAGGAACAGGTCTGATATATTTTTTCGACAAATTTGGTGCTGTAGTTTATTTAATGAGGCTAATAAATTATTTTTTCCATTGATTGATTTAACTATATATATAGATTTCAACACTCCGCGAAAAATTGGCCGAAATCTTTGAGGCTGAGGAAGACTGGCTTGAAGCTGCTAGGGTGTTGCAAGGAATTCCACTAGATTCAGGTCTTCGGTATGCAATGATTTATAATTTATCGTCGATATCAATTAATTCAATATAATTATATTAATGATATCTATGTATTTTATATAACTAAGAACTATTTCGGATGAATATAAGCTCAAGATTTATATTAAAATTATTCAACTTCTTTTAGAAGAAGACGAAGCAGTGTCAACAGAAACGTATTTAAGTCGCGCCGCGTTGTTGATTCCTGGTTGTAAGGATCAAGTCATCAACTTAACGTTCAAATTGTCACAAGCTAAGGTCTTTGATTTCAAAAGAAAGTTCCTTGAAGCTAGTTCGAAATATCATGAGCTGAGTTATGTACCTGAGTTAGCGCCAGAAGATCGAACGAACTGTCTGTGAGTTATTAACAAGTTTGTCATATTTAGTAATTCTTTTGAATATCTGCTTACATCTACTTGATATGTGATGCTAGTAATGCTGCTATTACTTGCGCAGTTCTTGCCGGTGCTGGCCCTCAACGTTCGCGCATGTTAGCCACGCTATATAAGGATGAACGGGTACAGCGTCTACCACATTTTTCTATCCTTGAAAAAATGTATCTTGATCGTGTTTTACGACCAAACGAGGTCAAAGGGTTTGCAGAAACCCTTAAAGAACATCAACGTGCACGACTCGCAGATGGCACAACCGTTCTAGATCGCGCAGTGATCGAACACAATCTTTTATCAGCTTCTATGATTTATAATAACATCACATTTGAGGAACTTGGATCCTTACTTGCCATTACTCCAGATCAGGCTGAGCAAATCGCAAGTTCAATGATTGAGCAGGGACGAATGCAAGGAACAATCGATCAAATTGAAAGATTGATATTCTTTGAAAGTAATTCAGCAGGAAAGGCAGTTGGCGGCATACTCGGTGCAAAATGGGATATAGCAATTCAAAATGTTTGTCATCATGTAGAGGAGGTTGTAATTGCAATCGGAAGCAAATATCCAGAGCTCACACAAATTTTGTAGATTGGGCCAACATAATAACTTTTATCTATAATGCTATATAAATAATTGTAACGATAAATGTGCTACAACTGCTATTTTAGCGATATATAAAGTTTTATCACAAAATTCGTAATCTATAGGCAAATTTATCCAGAATTTTGTTGTAAACTCACATATTTATTTTTTTTTTTAAAAAAAATTAAAATATTTAAAATTTTTTTTGATAAGAGTATTGCTATTTTTAACCGGTGGTGATTTCACCGGGGGGATACTGTATCTCAAAAACCTTCTAGCTAACTACGTCTGGGTACCAAGTAAAAATGTTCAGAACCTCCAAAAACCCAACCCTAACTAAAATTTAGACCTTTATATCTAACCCCTATGTTTTTTCTAAAACTGCACCCTATCCCTAAATTTTAATAAAAATTAGAGCCGGTAACATATATTATCAAAAGAAAATAACTATATTTAACCGGTGGTGATTTCACGGGTGATGATCTTCCCAGTCATTCGTTCTGGTTACATCGACCCACCCTCCCTACCCATGAAGTTTTCCGAAATGGCCTGTCGGAACAACAGTCATGTGAGAAGTGAAGGTTGGGTTGATGTGTAGTTTGGTTTAGGGTCTTGGCCTGTTGAGACGACAGTCATTTGTACGAAATTCTGATGCATTCGATGGCCTGTCGGGATAACAGCCAGCATAAAATAATAAAAAAAAAAGAGAGAAGAGGAAAAGAGAATATTATTACACGATACTAAAAAACTGCGTAGATCGCTCGATTAGCAGGAGAAAACACCCAGATGTATTTCCATAGTAAGTCTCCCGAAAATAAGAGACAAAACAAAATAACTTATCGAATCGGCAAAATAATCATTCAGTCAATTTTTGACCAGATGTTCCAAAATTTATGAGAACACCTGTAACCCAGGCCGACCCGTTATAAAATTTTTATCGGGCTCGGGCCCATAAATTCTGAAATATCTGGCAAAATCTGACCGATCGAATGTTTACCAATTTGATAAGTTCTGCGATCATTACCGAAATCAAAACTTATCGAATCGGCAAATCAATTTTTTGTCAGTTGTTCCAGAATTTATAAAATCAGCTGTAAATAAACTCGACCCGACCCGGCCCGTACAACAGGAGTGACCGTTCAAATTCGATAAATTTTTTTTTATACATTTTACAATACTTCTTTTAAAAGCTCGGGTAGCTTAATTTTCTATGAAATGAGAATAAATTTAACGGATGAATTGATATTTTTGCTTTGCCCTATAACATATTTTTTGAATTCCTGTGAATCCCACAATTTATTTTTTGCAATCTGATTGGCCGATTTGCTAAAATTCGAGATACGATTGGTATAAAGGGCCGAAAATAATTTTTTCAAAAGAGATTTTTTTACATAAATTAATTTAAAATAAGATTAGGATCATTTTTCACTTAAGATACAAAAGTAGTTGTATTAATAAAATTTTGCAGTATAGCTCTTTAAAGTTTGTATTTTCTTATCGTTATTAAGATTTATAATATAAAAATTGATTTTCCGAAGATCTTTGTTTTGTCATTTTCGGCCCTTTTCTCAGCACCTAGCCCATATATTGAAATCATCTACGAATTTGAACGGTCGTTCCTGTTGGCCCGTACCAGGGTTGGCAATGGAGCCAATGGAGCTCAAAAAATAGTATCCATTGGTTCCATTCAGAGTTCCATTGGTTCCATTTTCAACACCATTGGGCTCCATTGAACACCATTGCCAACACTGCCCGTACCCTAGGCATAATTAGTGTAGGTTAGTGGTGCCAGTAATGTACATAGACATATGTCAAAGAAAATTATTAGACATGGACAGTCCATGAACATTGTCCAATGTCCATGTCCACATAATTATCTGCGGCCCGATAATGTACTTGGACAAATGTCCAATCAAATTATTGGACATGGACATTTGTCCATGGACGATGTCCAATGTCCAAGCATGCTATTGGCTGATCGGTAATAAATGTCCATCAAATCATTGGACATGGACATTTGTCCATGGACAATGTCCAAATGTCCAAGAACACTATTGACTAATCGCTATGTCCATGGACATGACATTAATTGTCCATGTCCATTGACAATACTGAGTGGTGCCATAAAAATGTTGCGGTTGCGTGATCTCCGACCGTTTCCGACCCATTAATGTATTAATCATAATAACATTGATATATCGATATCGATATGGGATCTTTGTTCAGCATACCGGTTCTTATTTACATGTAAATCATTTTTTGCAAATAACTTATCGAATGAACAATAAAGGCAAAAATAATTTACATGCAAATAAGTATCGGTATATTGATATGAATTTGTCCGAATTAGCCCGATCGGAAAATGTCGAAGGATGATTTTTCTAGCAATATGATCAATTATAATGTAGATGTTATCGCTATTTGATCAATATTAAATTCGGACTATCAAATGAGTGGGAAACGTCGACGACACGTCACCGTGACATTTTTATGGCACCACTAACCTACATAACTTATCGAATCGGTAAACATTCGATCGGTCAGTTTTTTTGCAATTTTGGTGATCCTCTTTTTTTTTACGTAGCACTTTTATATTGACACGTGTTATCATGTTTTTTCATGTCGCGGAAGCTTTCAGAATTTTGCATCCAAAAATTTTCAGACCATGCTCGTCTTTTACATTTATTGATATTTCGCTTTCTGAAATTTTTCGTTATTGACGTAGTCTTCTACATTAGTATAACACAAATATGAGACCTCTTCATACTAATTTCATTAGCAAAAATTCAAATATAACCTCCTTATTTGATTGTGTAACCTTCACTCCCAATACCTATCCAAAAAAAGGGGATTATTGTAGGTAGTAAACGACACAGATTTTTATATATAGTTAGCATTAATACACAGAAAGAAGGCTTTTGTGGCTGGCAGCTTCCAAGCAAGGTTAGCGTTAGTCTTTTTTTTGAAATATCGATTGACCTGTTCATTCAAAACTATACGTAGTACGTTAGGGTGTGGGTTATATTTATCAGGATTTTTTATGGGTTT